AGTACACATGGTGTTGGGGGGATCATGGGGAATACAGTGTAGCACAGAGAAGGCAAATAGTGACTCTGTAGCATCTTACTACACTGATGGGCAGTTACTGCAATGGCTTATGGGGTGGACACGGTAATATGGGTGAATGTAATAACCATATTTTTTCATGTGAAACCTTTATAAGAGTGTATATCAATAATGCCTTAATAAAAAAAAAGAAAATATGTACATCCCTGGTGTATTTAAAATTCATAAAAATTCAATCTACATACATTTTCAGGTACCTTTCATGTTTATCAAATAATCAACAAATATGTGTATTTTATAATAACACTAGTTAGCCCTTATTGAGCAGTCCATTCTAGGCACTGGTAAAAGCATTTTATATTATCATCTTATTTAATCAATTCAATAGTCCAGTGGGATGGTACTCTTGGTACTGTACAAAAAACAGTACTATATAATAGTAGTAGAAAATAAGGTTTCTTTCTTACAGAGCTTAAAATCTACTCAAGGAAATAAGACATAAGTACATGAAAAGAAAAATAACTTAGCCATTAAATAATAAGGCATGAGGTATGACAAGGTAGTGCCTAATTAACTACCAATTAAATGATGCACTAAGTGTATTAAGGACAGCAGAGGGAGAATTCTAAATTCAAGTGTAGCTAATAACATTTTACTAGTAAGTATGCATGCCAGCACTGTCCTAATCATTTATAGATAGATGATAGATAGAGATAGATAGATAGATATAAATGATAGATAGATAGATAGATAGATAGATAGATAGATAGATAGATAGATAGATGATAGACAGATAGATGATAGATAGGTAGATAATAGATAGATCGATATAGATAGGTAGATGATAGATGATAGATATAGATAGATGATAGGTAGATGATAGATAGATAGATAGATAGATAGATAGATAGATAGATAGATGATAGATAGATAGATAGATGATAGATAAATGGGTAAATGGATATAGAGACAGGGATAGATAGAGATAGAGATAGAAGTATTTAATCCCAACAACAAACCTTAAAGTAAATACTAGCATTCCAGATTGTTGGGTTTTTCCCCTGAAGATTCTGTTATATAGGCTAAATTATACTTTTATTATACCCTAGAAAATAAACATAAAACATTTATTAGCCCATTACAAAATTGTTTATCTCTGACTTGGACTATAAAAAGAGCAAAATAAGTATCAGCATTACAAAGTCACTAGAAAATAATTTCAGCGCTTTTTAGGGAAGGAGAGAGGAGAGGGAATGAAGTAAATGAGGAGGAGAGCTTTGCAGCCCACCCTTCTTCCCCACTCCTCCCACTGACTGTCCTGCCTGTTGTGTCCTGCCAGGAAATAAGATCACCGGAGATGTTTTCACTAGTGTTGGGACCAGGGGTGGTGGCTGTTCAGTGTGACCCTCTTCCTTCCTTCATATAACCCAGCAAATATTTGTGTCTTTATCATAGTCATCTACTCAGGTGGGTAGGAAAGTGAGTGCATTAAAAAGCAGGAAGCGCACCTGGTAAATTCCCATTTCAACTGGGCTGGTATTCCCTGGCAATTGCACAATATAGAAGGGAATAAATAAAAGGTAATTGGATACCATCAACCACCAACATTTCCAGCTAATGACTGCAAAATGTGTGAATATGTTACCTCCTAAGCCCAGCATTGAATGACTGGCTCCGTGTAATATTCCAAAAAGTGAATTGAATGGGATTTGAGTGGAAACCCCTGATATTAAAAGTGCTTATCAATTTTGCATGAAATTAAACACAATACTTAAGCCTCAGAAATCCAAATACTTAGTTCAAGTAATGTTTAAACCATGTACTCAGAAAAGGCACTTCCCTGTCTCTAGGCAGTTTCTTGGGTGATGCATAATACATGCAGAAAGGGAAGGAAAAAGCTGGCTAATCTCCCAAATTATCACCAGTCTCATCTCACCAATCAAATGAAAAGATTATTGTGCTTTGTGTATTCTTTTTGAATAAGAATTCATAAAATGTTTAACCGGGAAAATGATCCTTTGGGGTGCATTATTAATAAATACTGTAGATAAAAGAATGTCTGATGGAATTTTGACTAGAATGTATAAAGAGGCAAAACTCCAATGAATATTGAGGCAAATTTTGTATTTTAAATACTTAGTAAAAAAATAGTTACATGAATATTTCATGATAGTAATGTATCTTCAAACTTTTTTCCTCCTTATAAAACTAACATATTCTTAAAGTGGAAAATTTAGATAGTATGGAGAAGAGAAAAATAGAAAAACAAGGAATAAATGATCCTCAATAATTCCACCTCCATAAGTCCATTGTTGATATTTTGGAATATTTCCCTTCAGCCTTTTATCTGTATACATTTTTTTTCTTAAACACAATGCAGATTATATCTATATATAACTTTGTATTCATTCCTTTGTATTATATATTCTACCATAGCCATTTCCTCAAACCAATGAAAACTCTTTATAAACACTATTTTTAATGACTGCATAATGTTTGACAGTAAGTATATATTAAACAGCATCACTTATTTAAATATTGTCATCTTTACTGGATATTAAAGCTGTTTCCCGTTTCGATTTTTTGCTATTATAAATAATTCTGGAGTTAATCAACTCTTGCATAAATCTTTGTGTTCATTACTGATTATCTCCTTGAACTACATTCCAGGAAGAATTAGTGGGTCAAAAAGAATAAACATTTTCAAGGTATTTGGTTCACAATGCTAAATCCCAAGTGATTTTAGAGATTTCCAGTTTTAGTAGGAGTATGTGGTATACATGAGAGCCTACCTCCCCAAATGCTCAAGAGGAAGGTTACAAGCTTGGAACCTTTGTTACCTGTAGATTTTCTAGACCATCATTACCTCCCACATACTGAATAAAGAGTATTAAAAATGGCAGCTAACCTATGCTTTCAGTTGGTAAAAGCCATACCAAAGTGAACATTATCTTGCATCAGTAAATGATAATGAAAATGAAAACTGCCAATAAGGACCAGGACTAGCAGATTTGAAATGTTTTCCTCAAGCGCAGTCATGAGAAGCTCTGTACTGGAAGCCTCTTGTCTGAGTCCCACTGCCTGAGCCAGATCACTTCCATAATTTAACCTGGACTTGTGGAAGTCATTTTTTAAAATAAAAGTTTTATGCATCTTCATTGGAGAATATTTCCAAATTAAAGAACAGTTGAGAAAAAGGAAAAGAAATCACCAACCAAAGATCATGACCATTTTGGTACACTTTTTTCTTTGATTTTTTCTAAGTATTTTATTTATTACATCTATTCTGCATGTTTCTTTGAGCATAAAATATGACTTTTCCCATGCTATTAGAATTTTTTCATAATTCTAATTGATGGAAAATATTCCATTGCTATAAATCTATATTTGTATAACCTAATATGGGCAATTTATGTTGTTTCCAAATATAATATTTATATTATAAGTGAAGATGAATCTCAGTGTATAAAACTATTTCCATATTTATCTTATTTTCTCAGTATAAATTTCCAGGAGCAGGGATACAAGGTCAAAAGATGTGTAAGTTTTAAGGCTTTTGATATTTTTAAGCAAGATGACTTTTTTCCCCAAGCAAAGCCATGTGATATATGTAAGTCTTTGTCTCTAATTTATGGATGGAGACTCTCAGAAGGGAAGATAAGTGCAATATCTATAAGAAGCTGAGTAAACTAATGGAAAACATGAAATGGCAATGTCCAATAGGTTTTGTATCACATAGATCCTGGACTCTCTAAATATCTAAAATCAGATTGTCTGTGAAACTAAGGGACAAGCTAAGATCACATAGTTAGTCCGGGGCAAAAATCTGAGTGGATTTCTCTGTTCTGTGAAAGCAAGTTCATTCCAAGATTCTTTTAACCATGAAGCAAAAGAGGAAACACTGTGTAGAACTACACATGTTCGATGAGATATGCCAAGAGAACAGAATAATGAGCTATGTATGAACAAATGAAAACACACTTTATATGGAAACTATAAACCCCCCCCACACAGAATTTAATGTGTAATACATATTTAGGAAAGTTATGATATTCTTAATTGAGACTAGGGAAAGAATACAAAAATGGGCAAATGACACGAATGGGCAATTTATAAACTAACAAAATGAGTAATAAGATAAACTAACCTTGTTAGAAATCAACAAATGCAAACTAGTTCAACTGTGGGTATTTTTTACTTGCCAAGTTGGCAAACACTTAAAAAGTGCTTTCACCACTATTGTAGGAAGTAAAAAGATGCAGCTTCTCTAGAGGGCAATTTGGCAATATGTAGCAAGTTTCTCCCATTTTTCTCAGCTTCTCACCCAGTAATTCTACTTCTTATAACTTATACTAGGGAAATAAATTTGCAATAATCATTAATGTAGCTGGATGCTCATCAGGGCATTGTTTGTAAAATGGCAAAGTAGAAATCAACTAAATGCCCCATAGGGTAGGAATAATGGAATATTATTAGTGATTACAATTTGTTTTTAATATATTATGAATGTCATAGGCAAATTTCTATGATACAATTTAATGGAAAAATTCTGGCAATATTACTACATACATAATGAGCTATCTAGCTATTTATCTCTCAAAAAACATTAACATGATTGGTAAAATTATTTGATAGTTTTAAATGTTTTAAACATTTTTCTTGATAATTAGAATAATAAAATTTAATAACTGAATAACTGTGGAAATGAGGGATATAGAATTTTCATTATAATTTCCTTTTTCCTATCACAAAACTGACATATCTTGGTATTTATCATACATTATCCTAGGAAATGTTTATTAGATCTGTATTCATTTTTTCAAAGATTACTAGAGTAATGTTCAATGATAAAACTTCATCTCATGGTGATGTGTATCACTTGGAGGGGGGAGAATCCAGCTTCACTGATCTTTAAAAAAAAAGCTTTCCATTTAGAGAATCTAAATCATAATAGTCAGCTCCTCTTCCTACTTCACACTCACCTATCATATCCCAGCCCACCAGAAATCAGCATCTCCAAGAGGTAAAGGGTCCCAAGCAGAGGCTTCATTTTTCTGCAGCAAGCTAGAAAATCCTGGGCTTCTCCTGCAGGTCAGTGGATCAAGTGTCTCTGAGTATGCATAAAGGCATTTGGCTCCCACACTCAAGATAAGATAAATCAGTTTTGGATATGTCAGCAGAAATGAATGTGAGCAGTTGCTTCATTAACTCCATCATGTCCTCAAACAGCTTTTTCTACTAGTGGAAAACATTACCCTTTGACTTCTCACTTCTCCTGTAAAATCAAATTTATACAAGCTCTTGGCTCCACCAGATCCAGAAAGGTTCTTTCCCACATAAAGTCCTCATTTCTAGGAATCCTATCACTTTTACTCAGGAGCTGACCATTCCTGCTGTTCCCTCTGCAAAGGTTGCTGGGCATAATAGGTTTTGTGTCTTCTGCTCTGGTCAGGGCATGGTTATTACTCAGGATATCCACTCCCCTTTGCAACCTAAGGCTTTATTTTGGGTCACATGCCTTCTCTTGTTCTAATGGACCACATCACCAGCTTCTTAAACAAATCCAGGTCTCTCCAAACCTGAGCAGTGAAAATATTTTAAATCCTTCCCCAAGTAGAGTTTCCCATACAACCCTCTCACATAAAGGACTCTTATCAGAAAGCCCACATTTTCAGACAAACTCAGAATATGCCTGAATATCAAACAATAAACAAGAAAAGTAAAAGATCAGGCTAAGATCACTGCTAAGAATCTAACTGAGCAAGGCAAACTTTAGTGCAGAGTAGAGGATTTAAACATAGTCCTTGGCATATGGAGGCCTAGTCTAAATCCTTTGCCCTGTATTTATTCATTCATCCATTCATTCATTCTGCAAAAATACAATGAGTACCCACTATATACCAGGCATTAATACAAAGATGAATGACACAGACAGAGTCTTGGCCTTTATGCAACTCACAGTAGAGCTGACAGAACAACAACAAACAAGTATATATACAGAGAAATAATACAACTGTAAGTAAAGGGAACCAAATTTAGAGAACAGGGGATAATCATAGGCCAAAAGTATGTTGAGATAGGCCTGTCCTGACTGATTTAAGATTATTTTTGAGTTAAGTTCCTAATGATGTGGTTCATGGAAAGGACTACAGGAAAACTGTTCTAGGAAAGGGGAACAATATGTATAGAGGTCCTAGGGAAGAAATGAGCTTGGGGTGGTAGAGGAACTGGAAGAAAGTCAGGGTTTGAGTGAAGTGAGAGCAAGAGAGAGTGATGGAAGATGAGGTCAGGAAGATAAATGAGGGCCAGATCTTGAAGAGATCATGGACCATGGAGGCACTTTGTATTTTTTCCTAAGAAATCATTGAAATGGTCTTGGTTTTATATTTTCAAAGATTCCTCTGGTTGCTGCATAGTGAGTAGGCAAGAGCAGGACAAGAATGGGAACATAAAGACCAGCAGGAGGACACCCAGCATTCCGGGAGAGGTGCTGGGGCCTCGGGCTAGTCATGGGTACATGGCGAAACATGGTCACACTGGGAATTTATTTGGGCAGCTGACCTAACAAACTTGTTTATGGAATGAATATCAAGTATGGGAGATATAGGGAACTCAACAACAACTCCTACTTCTGGGGCCAAGAAATGGAGTGAAAACTGGTGACCTTACAAGACGGGAAAAATTGAAGGAGGGGTAGGTTTGAGGAGATGAAAAGTCAATCATTCTTTTTTGGCTCTGATAAGTTTGAGATGCTTACTAAACATCCACAGGATTGTCAAAAGTGCAGCTGCTATTGCAGGCTGGAGCTCACAGGGAAGTTGGAGTGCAAAACATAAATTTGTGACTCCTCAGCATGTAAGACATGGTGTTTGAAGCCACGTGGTAGAGAACAACCAGGACGTGAGTGCAGATGGAACAGGGAGCAACAAAGACTGAGCCTTGGGTCTTAGGTGGAAAACAGAGATTGTTACATCTTAGAAGCCAAGTGGGGAAAGCGTTTCAAGAAAGTGGGAGTTACCAACTGGGCCAAATATTCAGAAATTGAGTCAGATGAGGACTGAAAACTAGCAATCTTCTCCAGCAGGACAGAGTCTCCTGGAGACCTTGAAAAGAGCAATTTCAGGCAATATGTGGTAGAGAAAAAAGCCTGATTAGAGTGGATTTTCAGAAGGAAAGGCAAGTGAGTATAGAAAATGCCATCACCGTAGCTTGCCTAATGGAAACTTCATTATTGTGGTCTTCCATCATCCCCTTGGGATATTGTCAATCTGGAAGTCTTGAATTTGAGTTTTGATGATGTTCAGAATGAGGGGTAAAAGGCAACACTACACTCTTTCCTTGCATCCAGGTGCAGGGACTGGGCAGCCGCCTCAGTAGTCCTGACTCTGAAGCAAGGGTTTTCATGGAGCTGTGAATTCCACAGAGGGAGAATGGAACAGAGGAACTGAGGGTGTTTTCTTTCCACTGCCTGCTAATTGGAATGGGACCAAGCTGGACTCAGGGCAGAATGATGCATGGGTAGTCTAACTAAAAAGCAAAATTAGAATAGGCTCACCCCAAGCAGATATGCAATTCCATGTAGTTATTCTGAAGCAAAAGAACATAAATGAAAACAAGAAATGCATGAAACATACAGCCAAACAGTACATACAAACTGTGAGTAGAAAGCTGCAAATAATTTCTGAAATTATGTTGTGAGGACATTTGGCTTTCCTGCACAGGGCTTGCCTAATAGTCACTGATAATTGGATTTTCCTCAATCCCCACATCCAATTTTACTGTAATATGTGGTCTCCTGCCAACCCACTGGCCAAAGATTATCTTTCTGCAACCTCATGGAATGCAGGCAGTGACCTAGAGCACTTGGGGCCAATGAACTGGAACCACGGGCTTCCCACTAACAAGGGTGAATTATTATCACATCTTCCCTGGCGATTAGATTATTCCTTATCGTTGTGTTTTATAGCTTTCTAGTTAGTCATTTCAACACAATTTATTCACAATAATAGTGTTTTTATTATTGCTGTTTTATAGTTCCTATAGCAGTAAAATTTATTCTCAACTCTATTATTACAATATTCAACTACTAATGGAATTCTTGTTTTTATTTGGCTGTGCTTTAAAGCCAGAGCGATAAAATTTACTCCCAAAATATTACAGCCAGTTTTATGTTCTCTAGACTACTTGATAGAATGCCTGCAAACACATGTGGTTCTTCTGCCAAAACACAAACCCACTGTAGAAAAAAAGCAGGACTTGGTTCTTATTATGGTGAGGCCTGTGTTTTTTGATAGAGGAAGTAATAGGATGAAAGAAATGAAAAGACCTTAGAGACTGCCGATTTAGAGGAAAACTAAATGCTAATTGGCAGAAATATTTGTTTAAAAAACTCAACCTCTTTTTATTACCTAGACATTTCCATCTTTATCCTGCAAGATAATGTGCTCTCAAAATGATGCCCATGATTTCTCATGGCTGGTTGTCATATTATTTGGAGAGAGGCTGCTATGAAATACTATCACCAAAGACTGACTTAAGATTTGGAAGGCACACGAGCCAAGCCAGCTCACCACCTCAGTGGCTCCTTAGTTGTGCTCACTGGCTCTGAATTTGCAGTCATCACAGTGAACCTCATCACTTGTCATGCACCTTTTACACCCAGTGATTTTTATGACTGAGTCAAAGGGCTGGAACATGAATTATAGCCCACACAATGGAGCAAAGTATCAGTAGGACTCAAGAAAGAGGTGTGTCAGACTGGCAGAAATGAGGGTGTTTAAGGGCTCGGTCTCAGGTGGATGGTAGGTTGACTTAAGGTCACAAGCAGGCATGAAGGCAGACTGAGTAGAGATACAGGCTGTTTGTCACTCAGAGATGCAACCTTAGCAGCAGAAGAGGCAAATCTAGATCTCATTCCTTGGACAGCAGCAAGAATAGGTTCATGTTCTGACAGAAGCTTCAGAGATTGTTTCTATCATCTAAGGCAATAAATGAGTGCATGGGTGGATGGACAGATGTGTGGACAGATGGAGGAATGGGTCCATGGATCAATGGATGGATGCGTGAATCTGTGTCCATGTTATTGTCAGACGGCCTAAGTCCATTGGCTAGATCCAGCCTCTTCCCTATACAACGAGGCATTTGGCTTTCTGTGACCATCTGCTCCCCTTTACCCAGCTGTGTCAGCTGTGGTTGTGCCCTACTGAAATCTGATATCAAGGGAGAAACTTCTGGCTATGGGTACTTTAAACTTGAGACAAAGTGCTACCTAGACATGTTCCAACCCATGACTGAACACAGAAGTGGTATGGGGCTCACCAGTCGTACCTAAGCAGGATTCCATAAGCACTCTTCTTGTCGCTGCACCATAGAATGAGGCTCCTACACAATCTTCCTCTCTCCCCCTTCACTTTTCACAGGTATAAGACCTCCATCATGGTCTGAAGGCTCTCCTTGCCTTCTCCTGCTTCCTCTCCCTTTTATCATTCACAAGGATTTCACCTTATAAATCTCTTCCACTTTTAACTCCATCTTGTTTCTCAGATGATCCAGCCAATACACCAACCAGACTCCAGGACAAGTGAAAATAAGTGAATGCTATTGGCCCCAAGCCTTAGAGATCTCTCTGCACTTTGTGGGCAATTAGATACAGAAACAAAACTTCAGCCTGGAAAACCAGGGGCAATGTTACATAGCCAGTCCTTAGCAAGCTTCTAAAACCTAGCCAGCAAACTACAGAAAGTCACATGCTAGCTAAAGAGCACATCGTGCTAGTTGGCTTAAGAAAAAAAAAAGTGATTTCTGTCTCACTGCTTGCATGCCCTTTCCAAGGTGTTTAAAGAACTGTATGGCAGGCTCCTCAATTTTTTGTGGAGGTGATAAACTTTGCCCTTTCTCTTGTGCTAAACTATCTTCTATTTAGATCATCAAGGGAAAGAAGAGAAACAGGAAAGAAATATATGCTCCCAAGTGCGAGGAGTGGAGTAGGGAGGACAAGGAGACCAGGAAGCTGCCAGAGGGGAACTTGGAAACCCCAGTCAACTGCCTGCATATGGGGTGGTCCTAGAATCAAGGTGCAGTTGGGGCAATT